ATCGTCTGCTCTGGTCTCGTCTCCGGCTGGCAGTCTTTTTATTAACTCTCGGTTTAGCAATACTGTTCGTAAATACGATTAACGTGAACGGGTACCCTCCCGGCCGCGGCACGTATCCCCGAAGAAGCGTATAATCTTTAGTACGATTCGATTGACCCTCTTTCTCGAAAAACACGCGACAACTGGAAAGAAAACACTCTTACCCTAGTTTCTCGAGTCGTTTCACGGGCAATCGATAAATTGCATTAGACAGATTTCTATTTGTATTCTTAGTTTCATTGTGACGCGGCTCGAAGCAATTTCTCTGTTCATCGGTGATGCGTTTCTTGCGTTTCTCAATAGAATCGTTACAAGAGACCAGGGTGGTCGAATGTTTCTTTCCTGCGTCGTACACGAGATCGACGAAACTGTACAGCAACGTTTCGCCGTCGACGATAAGAGAGTTTAGTGATTGCCGATGGTAGAAAGATCATTGCACCGTCGTTGATTGATTCTGTCCTGTTTCCGTTTTCGATCGACCAACAGTGGAGTATAATTGATTGGCCGATTAACAGGCAATTCTCAGTTGCGCCTGAAATCACCGATGGTGCGATGGACTAGACACGACGCCATTTTGAAGCACAATGTCCTTCTCGGCTCGCCGGTACACTCCGAACCTTGGCCCTCGGCAGTTCATCACCAAGCGAGCCACGTCAGTCGTTCGAACAAAAAGTCTCGTCGATCTTTCCGCTGGATCCTTCAAGGATTTTCTTTCTCTTCTTCTCATTGCATATGTATATATATTAACTATCTACTCTAGGACCTAAGTCGCCGCTGCACCACGCGGAGGGTACACGATACTAAAAAAAAAGAGAAAGAAAGAAAGAAAGAAAAAACAAAAAAGAAGTAGAAGAAACAAAAGAAAAAAAAATGTACAAGGTCTTTTGCTATTAAATATTACAAGTTTGTCTTTTTTCATCGCGCTAAAGCTATAACGGTAGACTCATCGTCCGTGTTTATTGTCTACGGTTCTGTACCAGGTTCCATTGAACATTGAACACCTCCATCATCACGCTGGAACATCGTCGCGAGATAATTCGAAAGGAATCGAAAAAGTCTTTCCTCAATATCAACCACGAGCGTGTCATTCAAACGTTGCAGCCCTTAACGAGCAGGTTCAACCGTTCCGTTGTCCCGTCGGTACGATAGCTACTGATGCTAAGTAACGACGGGACTCGCAGGTCGGTTACCGGCCGCTGTTAAAATAAATATCCTCGTAAGTACGAAGAGTCATCGAGCAGAGACCTGCTTAACCGACGCACGGTGTCGTCTCCCCCGAAACTAGGCAATCGGAGTCCATCCTAGCTTCTCAATGACTAGGTCGGGTTGCCCTTAGTTATCCGGCACGTTGTAGAACCATAAGAGTTGATTACATAGCGTCGCCGCAGGGGAATGTCTACAGGGAGAGCGAGCATTGTCTTTTTCATCGATTCCGGTGCTCAGGACTCGCAGGATCCCAGCTGATCCCATGCAACCGAAACCCCGTCGATATTCTTCATCCCCAATCGTTCAAGGGCACGCATGCACTCTTCGGGGAATGTCTACGGGGACCAAGACAACCGTCTTTCTTGAGCCTCCTCCAGCGAATAGCCGCCCAGCTGGACGTCGTTATGGGTCCATGTGTCTGTACTTGTGAGCGGACATCTGCGCCAGGCCCAGCACCGCGTACTGACACTGCAGGCAGTGGTAGTGGGTCTGTTTACCGGAGTGCTGGCACTGCACGCCGCCGCACGGCTGGCTGGGGGTGAACTTCTGGAAGCCTGCTGCCGCTATGCTGTCCAGCTTCGCGTGCTGACGCCGGTGAGCGACCACCTTGTTAGTGTCCGTGCACACGAAGTCGCACTTCAGACAGTGGAAGTGAGAAGCCTTGTTCTGCATCGAGCCCAGCGAAGACGTGTACGCGCACTGCGCTCTGCCGCAAGGTACGTTCGCCCTGTACTGCTGGAAGTCGCCGCCCATCAGGGTGTCCAGTCGTTCGTGGCGAGCGGTGTGTTGCACGAAGCGGGTTTTGTCGCAGAACGAGTAGCCGCAGTCCTGGCGCATGCAGTGGAAGTGCGTTTGGTGCTCCCTGTAGCCGCAATGGGGGTACCTGCAGTCTTCGTTGAAGCGGAACCTGGAATGTCGAATAGTTTCGTTAACAGTTCCTGTGAAACCAACTCTTGGAAAGAACTAGGACATTTTCGGATACAGAAACGATACAAACCTGACGTATCCTTCGGGCACCGGTTCATCCTTCAGCATCCTCATCGAGTGATGCAGCCTCTGTTTCTTGGCCTCCGGGGAATTGCTGTCAGGCGGAGACAGGGACCTCTTATTGAGGTTAAGGTTCGCAGCCAGCGAGGCTAGAGGATTCTCGTCCCTGGCAGGAGGTAGGAAGTTAGCCGGAGGTAGACCGGGAGCAAACATCAGCCCTGGTGCTCCGGTATACATGCCACCGTGTTGAAGGAACGGCGGCAGAGCTTGGTTCATGAGAGCGATCTGTTGGTTCATGGCGGCCATCACGGCGGGACTGGGAAAGTGGAATCCATGGCTGAGGTCCAGCTCGAAGCTTGTAGGGACAGGAGACTGTTGGACGTTAGGAGGCACGCTTGGCTGGGACAATTGTCCGTTCTCGTTGGCGTCCATCACTGAATTGTTCCCCTCGTCTCTGGTGATCTCATTCGGCTCTCTCTTCACGCTGGGCACATTCTGCACGCCGACGTCAGCTCCGCTTCTCGCCGGCTCCATCTTCACGTCCTTCACCTGGCTCTGCTGGTTCATCTGACCCAGCGTCTGCTGCATCTGACGCTGCATCTGGTTCTGGAAGTTCTGAATGTTCTGCGCCATCTGAGCGTTCTGCGCCATGAACTCGTGCTTCTGGGACAGCTGCGCCAGGTACTCGTGTTGCAGCTGATTGGGCACTTGGTTCGCCAGGTCGTGCTGCTGCTGGCTGAGGATCGCGCCCGTCGAATGCTTCGCTATGTGCGCTACCAGCCGGTCCAGCTCGGAGAACGCCTGGTTGCACGCGTTGCAGTGGTAGTGGTTCTTCCGTTTCAGCTTGCAGAACGGTCTGCTGCAGCTCTGCTCCGGACCGTACAGCGTGTGAGGCGAGGCTGAGCTGGTCGATGGGAGAACCGGTGATTCTGGAATCGTAAGGATCGGTATTTTTTAGACGAGAGTCCTGACCGCGGGGACGCGAATTGCGACGACACTGGTGCCACAGGCGAGACCTGGCTAAATCCGATGCTTGCAAGTCTTTTGTTTTCGAATGATTCTCAAGGGAACAATGATCTACATGATAATGAGACATCGGTTCATCAGGGATCAAAGATACAATCCTTTGCCATGTCCCTCGCCTGGGTTTATACTAAGAGAACACGTTTCAAGGCAAGAAAATCTGTCGTCGATAGAGACACGAACCTTGATGCACGGAAGTTCGCATGGATAGCACGACGCCCGGAAGTGCAGGTTCACTCGGCGGTCCACTGACCGGATAATAGGTGCCTGCCGCCCTCACCACTAGCAACAATCAACCAAACAACCAACACTTCAAATATACCTCCCACTAGAATTACAACCACCTTGTACAATAGATACATCAGACGCAAAAAGATAAAAAAAAAAATCAATGTA